TTTAAGTTTTAGAGCCAATAGCCACATCTTTGAATAGTAAGTCACAGATGGAGTGTCTAGCAGCTGGTTGCAACACATTTTCTATATATTTTCCCTACGCAGTAATCAATTGTCTGTGAACGCAGTCAGCCAACTTCCAGCTATTTTCATGGTCCATTTTGCTCTAACAAATGGGCCCTGTGTCCTTTAACCAAAAACGCAAGACTTAGATCAGCATGTTTTTACTGCAAAATTGTTTCAAAAATATAAAAAATCGCCAATAAATGTCAACCCATTGAAACGCGTGGATTAAAATATTAAAGCCGTACTACGTAACTTTTTGGTTGTGGTTCCGTCACCTGCTTGTTTCTATAGATATGTGATTAACTCTACTTGGAATGTTAAACAGTACGACATTAAACAGGTCAAGCTCACATTTATTCAGGTGGTTTTATAGCTCAAAAATACAGAGAAAAACAGACTGTGAGCGGGTTGCCTCTCCACAGATCTGACCTGTAACTTGGTCTTGTTTGGTCTCCATGGAGACAGAAAAGGTTTATTACAATATTATGAAACATTCAAGCAATAACATCTCCACTTAGAAAAGCATGTGACGGACCCTCCACCAGAAAAGTTACGCAAATGACCTTTAACTTATCTCCTCCATGTCCTACTTTTTGCATCTAAGTAAACAACGGACTTAAATTAATGTAAAAAAACAACAACAAACAAACAAAAAAAAACCTGTCCCATCTGAAATGAACTCATGTGTGCATATTCACTTAAGGTACCATAAAAATGAAAAGGAAATGAGAGAAGGAGGGATTTGAAGTATGCAGGGACCGAAGGAATTTCCAGCCCCTCCTCCTCCCCCTCTCCTCCCCTCCTCCTCCTCCTCCTCCCCCGTCCTCTACCGGGGCGTCCTGTGTTAACAAGCTCCTGCATCAGACCACAGTAAGTGAACTCATGATGAGGCCCATTCAAACTGCTTTCTCACCTCTGTAGGTTTAACTTTTAATCTAATGAAAGAATAACAGGACAGATCCACACATTTTTCATAGTTAACTTATTTTGCGTTAAGAAATTCGCAGTCACTTGAGTTATCTGGAGAACATTACAAACAAAAGAACTGACTTTCAAAAGGTGCATTCCACAACGTTTCTGGTGAAGAGTCCGTCACCTGCTCGTCTTCATGGAGATGTTTTTGCTTTGTCTCGAATGTTCCAAGGTAGAGGTTAAACCTTTCTATCACAAGGGAGACAATTATAGGCTACATGGCAGGTCAGCTCTGTGGAGAGTTGCCCCCATTCACAAAGAGAATTGCAGTATTTTTGTGCAATAGAAACACCCATAATGATATATAATCACATAATGATAAGAAATGCTATATACATGTGTTAAATGTCACGCTATGGAACATTCCAGGCAAAGCAATAACATCTCCATGGAGACAAGAAGGTGACGGACCTACAGAAAAGTTGCTTTAAAGAGGGTAGGATGCAATGACAAAAAGCATTCATGTGTTTCGGTGACATTTTGATGACTTTTTGCCACTCAAAAGCTAATATTTCATTGTGAATTGTTAATTGCTATGGCAACAGTGCTCATTTTTCACCAATCTCAAACCAATGGATTTAAAGCATCAGTATCTTTGACATTTAAGTTGGTTCATTTATTTATTGTGCCACACTGTTTAAACATTTGCTTTAAGATTTTTAGATTTCTGCTTGAGAAACGCTACAGGTTTGACTGAGTGAATGAAGAAAGGTTTACTCAGTGGTTTTTAGTAGTAATAGCAGAAGTAGTTTGGTAATAATAGTACTAACACTTACCACTCCTGCAGTATTGTAGCACTATAAAAGTTACAAATGACTCTTCCCATAGTACTTACTAACAACATTTTTGCAGTAGAAAGGACTACTTCACAAGCAATACTTTTACTCAAGGTTACAGAGTACGTCTTGGTTTAAAGGGGCCCATATTATGCTATTTTCTGATCTACGTTATAATGTCGATTATCAAAAACATACCTGGAGTTGTGTTTTGCTTCATTTAACACACAAACCCTGCAAATCAAATGGTTTGTTTCTAAACCCCATACATCTTTATACTAGAACCATTTGGATGATTACAGTGCTGGAATTGCAATTCTCTGCTAAACAAAAGGAGCTGTTAACTTGAAAACTGCTACTACATGACATCATAAGGTGGATGAGAGCATTTTGAGCTTTGTAGACGTAGACTGACTAATAAAGGGTTGCCAAAACAAAACACAACAAGCGTGCACGTTTTTAAAGGAGGTAACTGCGTTCTAACATGGTCTAAAGCTCACAAGAATCAATTTTGTGCAACATAGGACCTTTAAGTCTTTATCATTCAACTCCAAATGCATCTTGCACACAAAAATCTCCATGTATTTGTGCGTATCTATCTGTAGTTAGCGTTACACTATGGACTAAATGACTACCGGCTGCCCACACTTCACAGAGCGCCGAGAGGAAGCGTGAGAATAAACAGCCCCGGTGGTTCCAGTGGGGAGCAGAGCTGATTGTGGAGCTTATTGTTATGAATGAGCTACAACTATTTCCTAAATGAAGCCTATATTTACTCCCAGTCGCACCGAGCAGACCGCTGGCAGCTGCACTTTTGGCCAGGGAAAACCAAACCCAAATGTTAGCTTCCTCCCAGCTAACAATGTCCTGCAACTTTTAGCACATGCACCAAAACAGCTGTATTGTTGTTAACAGGGGCGCGCAACATGAACTCTGACAGCAAAACCAGAAGGGAACTACTGTCACTGAGTTTTGTACAGTAGGTTGGCAATAAATAGATACAAATTTGGTTAAAGGGTCTATATTATGCTAAATTGATTCTTTCAGTCGTGTTACAACGTTGTCACATCCTCAAAAACAGACCTGGAGTTGCGTTTTGTTTTCACACACATTTTTGAGAAACCCTGTCTACATCTCCAAAGCTCAAACTGCTCTCTTCCACCTCGTGACGTCACGCAGCAGTAGTTAACAAGTTACAAGTTAACAGCTACTTTTGACCTTTTTTGTCCCGAAATCACTGGCCATTCTAGGTCCGAAATTATCCAAATGATTCTAATGAGCTGAAATCTGCAGGGTATGTGCATTATACATGTGTCAGTGTAACAAAATGAAACTCCAGGTATGTTTGTGATCAGGAAACGACATTATAACGCAGATCAAAAAATAAATTAATACATTTTAAAAAGCGTAATATGGGTCCTTTAATTTGTACTGATCTTGAATTACAAAATTTTAGTTGGTGGGACGAGACAAAACTTCCCCGAGACAAGACGAGACACGCGACTGGGTCCACGGGAACGAGAAAGAGATATTAGCATAATTTAAGATGAATAAATTGTGGAGTTCAGTTCACAGTTTCATTTAGTTTATCCAATATTTTTGCTCACATTGGCCAGCCGACTATTAAACAACACTTCTCAAAAAATCTCACGAGATCATTTTCCGCATGTGAGCTACTCTACTACGCCAATCCCTACTAAATTTTGTATTGTCAGACTGACATACTGTACGACACTGACGTCTGTACCCGTCACGAGAATGAAATCAGTCGAAGTTAAATAAAGCAGGCATGATAATAAACCGTTTATTTGGGTAAAAGTTCAGTGGGACTAAAGCGTGAACATTTAAAAGGTGCTCTATGTAACTTTTCTGGTGGAGGGTTTGCCAGCTCAGTAGCTATTGAGTATTTTTTTTCTTTTTTAGTGAATTATTTTGTGATAGTGCTACAATTTAGGTGTCTGTTCCTACAATACATTTGCCACAATCATTGTTTTACCCGTTACGATTAATTTATTCCATATTGACTTTGCACAGGTAGTCATGGTTGGACAAATACTGTTGTTGAAATGTATTTGGCTCATAAAAATCGTGATATATCGCTGAAAATCATTGCTGTATTGTGATATTATTGTATCGTGAGTATCGTATCGAATCGTGAGGGACCCTGCGATTCCCAGCCCCAGTGGCTATATTGTCAGCGATGTTGGCAAATACATAACTTGACAAAAAGTACACAAAAATTTACACTTACAACTATTTAAAATATTTGGTATCGTGGTCAGTCTTAATAGTCTAACCCAAAAGACCAAGATATTTTAAGTTGTCATTATAACTGATAGTGTAACTTTTACTGAGACTGGAAAAAAGACTTAACCCAAAATTTCAGAGCCACCACATTAGCTTATAACATGTGCATATTATTTAACCATAGAAAACACCGGTGACTGTAATGTGAGGTGCTGTGAGGTGAACAAAAACGCACAGTGTTGCAGAGGAGATGCCCTTTAGCCTGGGTCACTCTTGGGGCTAACTTGGCTGGTTTCAACACATTCCTGGTTTGATTTGGGACAGTGCTTCTCAATCTTTCAAAGCAGTGCTCAGAAAAGCCTCTCCAAGGAAGCTACAATTTTTATGACTAAAACATGGATACATCTTGGCCATGTACGCGAACCATTAATGACATTTTGATAGATCCACTCTCCCCAAACTGGGACTAAACCTGGAATCTGGACTAGACCAGGGCTTAGAGCAGGACCAAACCAAGTCTACATTTGGAAACAAGTCTGGCTGCACCCTTAAAATATTTTTTTTAACATAACTAAGTGTAATTTTGGTGTGTTTTTGTTTACTTTTTGATTTAAGTACAAGTTGTAGGCCTATTGGAGCTACAGAAAAATCCAATGAAGACCATGTATGAACTATTAGTAGCAGTAGTAGTAATAATAATAATAGTATTTAAAAGTATTGTATTGAAAACCTGATTTGCAAAAGTGCGTACCACCAGCTGTTCCTTCACCTTGGTTTGAGACCCCTGCGTGGAGAGACAAGAACACCTATACAAGGCCTGTGGGGGGTCCCCGGGTCCCAAGGTCCCAAGCTTTCAACCCCGGCCCCAGACAACCCTTTCTGTAGGATTAAAAACGGGCCCTTGGGCGACAATAGTCTTACGAAACTTAACCAAAATCTTACCGTTTACGCCTTTGTTGGGCACGTCGTTGATGTTGAATCCTTTGGAGCTGTACGCCGCGCGGACGTCGTTGCAGTTTTTCAACTTTTGCTCCGCCGTGGCTGAAAAAGTCAAGGCAACCAGAGTGCAAGCCACAGACAGCAACAACAGTGACTTCATTGTGTCGGGAGCAAAAAGTACCACGCGAAAATACGTAAAATCACAAAACGTAGTCGGCCAGGTGCGTTCGTAAAAGCTAGGACAAGGTTTGCGCTAATCCCACGTTGAGTTTCTTCGTGGAGACATTGGCTTCAACTCAACAGAAACTTCATTCAAAACTATTTCGAGTGTAGAAAAAAGTGAAACTCGCTTTTAAATCAGTGTAAACCTTAACATTTACAAGCGAACACGGTGTCGGTGTGAGTTTAGAAGTTACCAGTAGTTTGTGCGTAAAAACACGGCGGAGTTAAAAACAGCCGTGAAAAACTTCTAACTTGAGGCGACAATCTGTGCTCCTCTCTGCAGCTGCTGCCTCACGGTATCGACGAAAGTATGACCCACGGGAAAACAAAACACGGTGTAAAAGTAGCCAGAGAGTGTTTAATCTTCCTCCGTACGCGGTTATCTGTAGTCTTTTCTGTCCAGGTTTAGCGGCGTGAAGCGGGGCAGTTCGTCTCGGCTGTGCGTTCAAAGTTGGTTGAGTTGGTTGGAGAGTAGCTGGGACTGTGTGGATCCAGATGCGAGCAGAAAGCCGCGGCGGTGGACAGCCCAATGCAGCCCGCACCGAAGCGCAAGTTCCGGGGACAAAGGCGAAGGAGAGGCGGAACACACGGGGTGGAGCGCGGAGCGTGGAACCGGTGCGTAAAAACAGGTTTGAAGTCTAGACGCAGGAGTTACCCGGCGAGAAAATCAGGAGTGGAGCGAGAGGTGGAGTTACCCTTTTGAATCAACAAAGAGATATGGGTCCTTATCAAACCACATGTTGTGAAAATATTATTAATGGGGAGATAATACGAACCACAGTGCTGTAATCAGTGTTGGGAAGGTTACTTTTAAAATGTATTCCCCCCTACAGATTACAGATTACATACCTCAAAATGTAGTTTGTAACGGAATCCATTATGTTACTTTAGGTGAGTAACGTAATCTGAATACTTTGGATTACTTCATTTTCTTTAGAGAAGCAAAGACTAGGATATCGTAACATAAGATGTTTTGTTTGGTAAAAGAAAAATGTAAAAAAGACCAGACTTTACTTAACCGTATTAAAAATATTATTGATAGTTTAGTCCTGTTAAATCCTGTTAAATCCTGGTTTAGACCTGGTTTAGACCTGTTTGAGGCCTGGTTTAGATCTAGTTTAGACCTCATTTTAGTCCTGGTTTAGGCCTGGTTTAGATCTAGTTTAGATCTAGTTTAGACCTGGTTTTAGTCCTAGTTTAGTCCTGGTTTAGACCTGTTTTACTCCTGGTTTAGTCCTGGTTTAGACCTGGTTTAGACCTGTTTGAGATCTGGTTTAGATCTAGTTTAGACCTGGTTTTTGTCCTGGTTTAGTCCTGGTTTAGACCTGGTTTAGACCTGTTTGAGACCTGGTTTAGATCTAGTTTAGACCTGGTTTTAGTCCTGGTTTAGTCCTGGTTTAGATCTAGTTTAGACCTGGTTTTAGTCCTAGTTTAGTCCTGTTTTAGACCTGTTTTAGTCCCATTTTAGTCCTGTTTTAGTTCTGTTTTAGTCCTGGTTTAGTCCTGGTTTAGACCTGGTTTAGCTCAAGTTTAGCTCTAGTTTAGACCTGGTTTAGTTTCCGGTAATGAGTGGAATTACCAAAAAAAAAAAAGGGACATGTAATCCATTTACTTCAACAAAGTAACTGTAATCCAATTACCACTCACTGAAACAGTAACTGTAACTGAATACAGTTACTCATAATTTGTACTCTGATTATGTAACTCCAGGACATGTAATCTGTTACTCCCCAACACTGACTGTAAACTAGGATTTTCAGACTGCAATTTGTATTTTAAGACTTCGTTGTTTAAGAGAAATTAGAATAGCTGGTTATAACATTTAGTACGATAGTAGAATGGAAACTAAAGCTCAGACAGTTTACTCTTTTACAAAACTCACTGAACGATCACAAAAAACTGCCCCTAAATTTGATAATTTGGTTATAAGATCAATATTATTATATGTTTTGTAGATTTCTTGTAGCTGATATTCAGTGGTGGAATTAACAATTTGGGGCCCTAGGCGGACTTGAGTTTGGGGCCCTCACTACAATGCACTGTTATGTTGTTTGTTTTTTTTTCTTTTTTGTATTGTTTTATGTATCTTGTCTGTTTTTCCCCTTTGTTCTTGAGACACGCACATTTCTATTTGAATTAGGGTGGATTGGAAACTTGTCTTATTAGTTTGGTCGCCTACTAGAAAAAACAGAGCTGAAAGTAGTTTTATTTTTTTGCTAGTACAAATAAATTTTTGTTTACATCCATTACATATGATTATTATTATGTTCAAATCAGGGTCAAGCTGACTAGTCCATTCTAATGTGAAAGGGGGGAATGCTTTGACAGTTAAAATAGATTTAACCCTCAGATACTATTTTGGTTGAGTGTTTTTTTTAACAGTAAACTACTCTCATTTAATGTTGAGAATATTGAAAGAACGTCAAATTGCTTTGAGACCTCGCTCATTAGTGGTAATGGCAAGGGCAATTGTTTTGGGGGCCCTCCAGGTTCGGGGGCCCTAAGCGGCTGCCTACTTTTGCCTAATGGTAGCGCCGCCTCTGCTGATAATGGAATAATATCTTGACTTTAAAGTAAAAAACTCAAACAAGAACTGACCTATAGACCAAAACATGCTGAAATAAATCTGAACTCTATTTGGATTAAACCAGGACTAAATCAGGAGTAAACCAGGACATAACCAGGACAAAACCGGGACTAAACCAGGACTAAACCGGGACTAAACTGGGACTAAACTGGGAATAAACCAGGAATAAACCAGAACCAAACACAGGACTAAACCAGGATTAAATCAGGACCAAACACAGGACTAAACCAGGACTAAACCAGGACTAAACCAGGATTAAACCAGGACTAAACCAGGACTAAACCGGACTAAACCAGGATTAAACCAGGACCAAACACAGGACTAAACCAGGACTAAACCAAGGCTAAACCGGGACTAAATTGGGACTAAACCAGGACCAAACACAGGAATAAACCAGGAATAAAAAAGGAATAAACCAGAGCCAAACACAGGACTAAACCAGGACCAATCCAGGATTAAACCAGGACTAAACCAGGACCAATCCAGGATTAAACCAGGACTAAACCAGGACCAAACACAGTACTAAACACAGTACTAAACCAGGACTAAACCAGGACCAATCCAGGATTAAACCAGGACTAAACCAGGACCAAACACAGTACTAAACACAGTACTAAACCAGGACTAAACCAGGACCAAACACAGTACTAAACACAGTACTAAACCAGGAATAAACCAGGACTAAACCAGGACTAAACCAGGACCAAACACAGTACTAAACACAGTACTAAACCAGGACTAAACCAGGACCAAACACAGTACTAAACACAGTACTAAACCAGGACTAAACCAGGAATAAACCAGGACCAAACACAGGACTAAACCAGGACTAAACCAGGACCAATCCAGGATTAAATCAGGACTAAACCAGGATTAAACCCATCCAGACCTTCTCCTGAACCAGACTAAACCAGCCCTGAACCTAAAGTACCAGGACCATAGACCAGTTAAACTAAGTACATTGTAAACAGTGCACCAGATGACCAAATACTCCTATCTCCAGGTTTTAGATAGACCCCCATCTGACCCATGGCTTGACAGTGGTCTGTTATCTGTTGTTACATTCAGAGTACAGATAAATGCTCTGATAAAAGGGCTTTGAACTCACCATGATGCCTTCACTGCCTTAATGTCAAATAACTGCATTCAACAAAGGTTTTATTAGGGACCAATTCAGGACCCCAAACACCAAATTTGCCCCAGAGATAACCAGATTTAATTTAGGAAAGAGGGCCAATAAAGTGGAGAGGGGTTTATAGTATGATGCTGTTTATTCAGGCAATTGACTAAAGCCAGTTCAGACCTACTTTTTTGGACATTGGATCTGCAAATATATTGACAAGTAAGTTATACTGAAAGGTCATGCTAAATTAAGGCACAATATTTATTTAAAGGTCCTATATTATCCACTCTTGTGAGATTTTACCAATTATAGCTGTTACAATGTTGTTACCTCATCAAAAATATACCCGGAGTTGTGTTTTGTTTCATTCACATATGTTTGAGTAACTCTGGATTGGATTTTAAAGATGCAAGGTTATTACTTTGCCTCGGATGATCCACATATGACATTAATTATTTATTATGTATTCAATTCAATTCAAGTTTATTTATATAGCACATTTAAAACAACTTCAGCTGACCAAAGTGCTTCACATACAAGTCAACAAAAACAGAAGAAACAGATACAAATACATAAATACAGAAAACATGTGAAAACTACAATAAAAACACCAAGATAGCCTGACTACATGTACTCAGGGAGAAGAGGTGAGTTTTCAGTCTAGTCTTAAACTGTGTTACAGTCTGAGAGGATCTGACAGGAAGAGGAAGGCTGTTCCACAATCTGGGCGCTGCCACAGAAAAAGCCTCTGTCACCTCTCGTCTTGAGCCGAGTTTTGGGCTCGACCAACAGGAGCTGGTCGGCTGATCTCAGGGCTCTGGGCGGAGGGCAGGGCTGCAGTAACTCCCTCAAATAGACTGGACCCATAGAGTGCAAACATTTGAAAACAATTAATAACATTTTAAATTGCACCCGATATAAGACAGGGAGCCAGTGCAGGTCACACAGAACAGGTGTGATGTGTTCACGTTTCTTAGTATTTGTCAGCAGACGAGCTGCAGCGTTCTGGATGTGTTTTAAGTGCTGCCGGGAGCCCTGGTCTAAGAATGACAATAGTCCAGGCGTGATGTTATGAAAGCATGGATAGCTTTTTCAAACTCTGCCCGTGGAAGGTAGGGCTTTACTTTAGCGAGGAGCCTCAACTGAAAGAAGCTTTGGCATTAATTCAATTACTTCAGTAGTGTTTTGTATTGCTTAAAAATACTTGGAAACTCACACATGCTTCCTATGTTCTAGCTCACCCATCCACAGATCTGACTTGTAACTTGCCTTGTAACGCCCTCTAATGCCATATTGTGGAATGTTCTCTATGCAAAACTATAACCCCATGAATGGACCAAACAGGTGGCCTGGTTTTTACCTTTTATTTCTTACCTTATGCATTTGGAGCGTCCTAAGTAGTCACCACAATGAGTTTATAAGCGCTTTTCTCAGATAAAGCTAACAACAACTGGCATGCTAATGTGCACTTCCTACTTATCAGACAATACAATTCTTTCTAATTAGATACAAGCAGCTGATGTATTTTGACCTAAAGAGCTCCTCATGCAATACACCTCTACTGGAGCAAATTCTTCTTTAAGGACTTTTAAAATACAGTACATTTCTTAATTAAGAAGCACTATTTAGTTTGTTTTACTAAGTTAGTTTGTTTAGTTTGTGTTAAGGTCACGTTATTATCACTTATTATTTTCTGTGTTATAATTATTTGCCTTTTTGTTACTTTGATTAAGTTATTGGTTTAGTTAGTTAGTTAGTGTAATTCCTCCCTCTTGTGTTTAGCTTTAGTTGGTCCTTAGGTATTTAAACACCTCTGTTCCTTTGTCTGGTTGGGTTCGTTTTGTTCTGTTCAGTTTGATTTTGAGTTACCCCAGTTGGGCCCAGCTTTTTTTGTTAATAA